GTGAGGATAAGGTTGGATCTGAAGATCGCAAGATGAAGATTGAAGCGGGATCTTGCATGCGTGTTTCAGAGACACCGCATAGATCTAAATAAACAGTTCCAAGAGTTATGGTTAAGGCAGCTTGTTGACCGATCTGATAGTATGCTGATATTGAATGCTGCTAAGTAAAAAGGAGATTTCGGTTTGAAAACTTTGATCAATTCGAGGTGGTTAACCCTTTAGTTGAACGCGGAGTGATATCCGACAGATGACGCAAACAGGATGCATCTCCAAAGATTTCGGAGTGAAAGGAAGAATTGAACAGATGACAAGGAAGATTGTTCCAATGGGTAACTAAGACTTTGAGGAACAACATAATTCGCGGTTGACCACATTGAACCCAAACCGGAGCCTTCGAATCAGAAGTCTGACCCACAAATCAGTGGGGCGTAGATCCAACGCCAGAGCATGATAGAAGCATCCGTATGGAAGCTTCTAGAGACCTGTCACGCAAGGCCTACGAGTTGCGATGCAGTGTTGTTCGTTGATGCGTTGATTGACGGTCTGCTTTTCGGGATCGGCTCTTAGTCTCATTCACTCAATGAGACAGGCGAACGTGGGCGGGACAGCAATTTATTGGCTGCTGGTTGCCTAGCTCGGGCGGACGAATGCTGTTTACCGTCAGAAGGAAGCCCCAGATACCCTGCTCCTAAGTCCATCTAGCGAACTTTTTGACAGGTGAACTGGCCTTCCCAGTTTATTTGCTGAAATGACCTTTCCAAGAGGGGGGAGCGAATAGACAAAGGAATCCAGGAGGTGCCCAAGCAGCATCTTTGTGAGACTGAGCTTTCTTTCTTTCTTTTTCATTTTACTTCGTTTCACTGAGTATACAAAGATACAATTTTCAGGAAGATGGAAGCGGCCAATTAAAGGGTTGCGGTTCAACACATTTTGGGGAAAGTCAGGTGGTGGTGTGATTCGAACACACACCCAGGGTGATAATTTGGTGAAGTTACCATCGGGTTACCACCGCCTTCTGCTCAATGACCTTTCAGGACTGAATAGATCTGCTGCTGTGAGGAGCCAACCTGTATAGTTTGCAGGGTCATAGAGGCAGTAAGTCATCACACCACGCCAAGGCGCAGTCCTGTCATGATGGTTCAGTTTATACAAACAACCACTAACCACGCATTTTCATGCGTCGGTTTTGGTTGCTGTGTTTTGGCTGTCCTTTTATATCGGTAGGAACCTTTGTGGCAGGCACCTTTGCTGTTGTCCGGTTCAATACCATACCTAACCTAACAGGGACAAATGAGGTTTGATACTCCAAGTACCGGGACCTAGATTACCGGTTTCCGTGATTGAATAGCTGGTCCTCGTAACCATGGAACTTTTCCTGACTTCTGTTCTATGTAATAAAAATGATGATAAGTAAGCAACAAAAAATGTCTGCCTTGGAATTCGTCAGAGTTCATAACAGGTGAGTAAATTTTTACGGTCAAAGGGAATCAGAACTGTGAATCCCGGTTTAGCCGATTGGTGTCTTGGAAAACGATCCCATGATTAACATGGATAACACAACCTACGCCGAAGCAGTGTTTCAGATTGTTGGAACTACCAAAGGGGACAACAGCCAGCAGTAAAATTAGGAGGAACAAAAGAAATAACCATAAACCTATCGCAAAAGCAATAATCTGAATACCGATTTATCAGGGGTGTCACAATGCCCATGGGAGACATACCTGAGTGATACTGAGATACGGTGTTTTCAGAAAATCAACGAACGGCTTTAAAGGTATGCACGTCTGTAAAGCAACCGAAAAGGGATGAATAAACAAATCGATTAAAGTAAGTGCGTCCGAAGCGGAAAGGGAAAAAAGAAACCGAAACAAAATACTCAACCGAGGAAAAACAAATAATATACGTAGATCAACTATTTAGCTCCGTTCAAGAAGCAGGGAAAAACGTGTTGGGACAACTTCCACTACCATCCTCGGTAACAACACTGGTGCTTGTGATACGAAAATTGTTTGCCTCCGCTTGATCGCAGGCTACCGTTCGATTTCATTATTATTCACAATCAACCGTGTGTTGACCAATACAAATGTAACTAATTTCGATAACGAATCAAAACGGGATAAATGTGAACGACTCGAATTAATTTCCTAATCTGACTTTGGAATAAACCGCTTACACAATTGCGTCCTATTCGCGTGGCTCAATAAACCAAATTATAAGAACCCATACTGAATAAATCTGGATAAGTGAAAAACAGTTGCTCTGACTGAATCCAGTAAAATTTACGATTTCATTTGTAAGGAAGTACTAGTCATACACAGCCCAATGATGAAAATTTTACAGGCTTGAAGTGATCTTTTGGCCGCCCAGTTGGATAAAGCATTACACGGAAGAATTAGAATGCTCGAGGCGATATCAGGACGAAGAGACAGGACACAGATAAATACATTTAGTGGAAAAATTGGGTAAATACATGAGGGACAAGTAACCACATCCCTGAACATTTAAAACCGCTGATTCGACCGATCCCAAGCACCCCAACCAGACCAACACGAGGTTAGAGCTTGATGTGGTGTGATGACTTGCGTGCCTCTATGACCCTGCGAGCTACCCCCCCCCACACACCATATCCCGAGTAGTTCAAAAGATGGGATGACCTAGCAATTACGTGATCATTGAGAATTCCACATCCGGTCCGAAGATGAAATTAGCCCCAGATAACCTATAATGCGAATTTTCTGTTTGGCATGACTACGAATCACTGAAAACAAGCTTATTGCCACTCTTTGTTCTATAAAGGATAACTGCTCACAGTAACAGATCTACCTGAAAGGTCAATGAGTGGCGGCCAGACAAAGCTCAGTCTCACAAGGATGCTGCTTGGGCACCTCCTGGCTTCCTTTGTTTATCCGCTCCACCCCCTCCCCATCTGGAGAGGTCACTTCAGCAAATAAACTGGGTCAGTTCATCGGTCGAAAAAATCCGCTAGGTAGAATTGGTGAGACCATGTTCATGGGCCAAAGGTAAAAATATGAACAAATAATCCTAGAAATAACGTAGTTATGATGCGTGTGGCAGAAAATCGACGAAGTACTATGCCGGCAAGAAGTTCTGAGTTGATGCTAATGAAGTCCATTCTATTGCGATTCTCGGAAGATCATCTATCTCCTTTCTTGTGAATAAGTATAATGACCGATTTACACTATTCTTCTAAAAGTTGTTCTCATTCCGATATTGAACCAAGTCGGTTTGACTCCTAAATCAAAGCTAGGCCCCCAAGCCTTCAAAGTAGATGGAGACACTGACCTAGAGTCGTGGCTTTGCAAAAGCTGAGGGAATTTACCTCACGAGTAACCCGTATTTCTGAGGAACGACTAGTATCGACTTGTAGAAGCTACCCGTTGGAAGTAGAAGACATTGAAGACCAGGTGAACTGTACCTTGAAATGATCTGATCATCATTTCAGTCGGTGTTGATGAATGTGAATTAGTCCACTTTCCATGAACCTGTATTTCGGACTAGACGGAAAAGATTGAAACTGTTACCAGCAGCCGTCGTCTTCATCATCTCTCTACATTTTGGAACTTGCTACTTGCTGCTATCACTCCTCAGGCTCTTAATGAGCTAGTATTCAATGATTTTTTCCTCCACATCACAATTCGGCATCCGTAGAAACGGTTCGGTAAACCTATAACGGAGTAGGAGAGATTGAGGAATCTATTGTTGGTGAACCAGAACCCATAGTTGTCTAGATAGGGAATTCGAACAGACCCTTTGATTAGTTGCAAATGTTTTTGGAGCCTCTTGACGAGTGGTTGGATTGAGATTGGACAAGAATGCTCCTTATGAAGGCCGAGTTTTTGTTCTTGTTTACCTGGTAATTTAAGTATTCGATTTCGGCAGCTTTGCTTCGGTTGTTCATCATGCGTCCAAGGATTTCACTTGAGTGCATCGCGTGTGTTTGATATGAGAGAAAATAAAACATATAAGATTTTCTTAACAAGTAACCGACTAGTGCTTTTCTTTGGGATTCGGAAGTTTGATGTAAGCAAAAGAAGCAACATCCCCGTTCCTCCCTGGGAACCCTAACCGGAGCCTTCGACTCACAAGGCAGTGGGGTGAAGATCCGATGGAAGGAAAAGGCTGAAGCACCGTTGTGGGGTTATTATAGACCAGTCACGTGAAACCTTAGGATTTGCTAGAGCGCTAGCAGTCGATCCGTTATTTGAAGTCGGCACGCAGCTTCATGCACCCAATGAGACAAGCGGAACGCGGACGGGAAAACACTTTATTGGCTGGTGGCTACCTAGCTTGGACGGGCGATCGTTGTCAAATGCGAAGACTTCACCCAAAGTCGGGAGGAAGCCCCAGTTACCCCGCTCCTACGTCCATCTAGCGGGAAGTTCGACAGGTAAACTGACCCTATAAGCATTTATTTGCTAGAGTAACCTCTCCAGGGCCGGGAGTGGATAGTCAAAAGTCAGGAGGTGCCCAAACAGCTGGCCTTGAGAGGCTGATCTTCGTCTGACCTCTACCCATTGGCCTTTCAGGCATGACTAGATCCATGGCTGTGAGCAGTATCCTGTATAGCTCGCTGGGTCATGGAGACACGCAAGCCCTCGCACCACGTTAAGGTGCAATCTCGTCGTAATGGAATGGGTTGATTAATTCACAACATAATACAACCTGAATGCAATGGACTAAACATAGAACCTCAAAGAAAAAGAACGTGATACAGAAATAGACCGTGATTGCTTTCCAATGATCAGTGACAAGAGTGACATCAAAACAACAATTCAAAACTTAATTAGTCAGGTGGAGATCGTAGTTGTGAGAGTGCAATAGATTATTTAAACGATCTAATTGAGCGTGCTCTAGAGACATTCTTGAGTCTGTGAACTTGTATCACATGACACTATTATTGTAAACACTATAGTTGAGCAACCTTTAAGAGAATGCGAATAAAATGTAACTCGGCTATTCAATCGTACTGATTCACATACATGATCATGCAATCGAAGCCGGTATTCAGCCCGGAGTTTGTGGGAACAGAACGAACGCTCAATGGCGCAATCTGCGCATGTGTCATTGGGTGACTCATCTGTGGATTCGGTCGAGGTGAATAGAATCGTTGGGTGACCGTTGAGATTGCACTCCGAATTGGTTGGCTCGGGTTTAAGTCGTTCCACTCCGTTCATCTCGGAATCCCCAGAAATCCTTTCCATGGTCCATTGGCACAAAGGAATGCGCAACTGAAATGCGGCAATCAGTGGAAAAAAGCATACTCATTGGGACTATGCGAAAAAACAAACTGGAGAACAGATCGTTGGCACAAGGGATAGCTAATCTCTCTCCATGGGTAAGCTGTAACTTGAATTTAGCAACTACAACCGTTCTGAAGACTTCTTTATTGTACTTGTCAAACAAACCACGGTATAAGCTTCTTTATAACAAAGAAACCAATATACCATATTGCCACCTTACACAGATCAAACCAGGTAACAATCTAGGGGATTCATTACTGGAGGCTTTTGCTAGACAAGACCAGGCCATTAACGCTGAGGCAATGCGAGAATCGCGGTTTACACATGCAGCATGTCCAATACAGCCAAATGCCCGGTCAGCATCGCGACCAGGATATCCTGGTGCTGGTTTGTACGGTTTTTAGTGGAAGGTTTGAGATAAAGATTTTCTAGATTCGCTAGATGAATTAGCTATTCGCGGATTACCAACCATGCTGCGGTCCCGGATATTGGCTTTTCGCCTTCACTTCAGGAAGAACACCCCCATGGAAACGTAGTGACGAGGTTTTATCAGCATGCTTTGATAGGCGAGATAGGGAGAGATTGGAGTGTCCTCAGAATTGTCCAAATGAGCAACATCATACCACTTCAAACCTGAGAACGTGCGAGACACGTGGACTCGCGTGAATGCTTCGCGCATTTGTTTGCTCGGAATCTTGGCGGTTTCATCAATTCTGCGAAAGTACGTTATTTTGTTTATAGTCATAGACGTTTTCACGAGGTTTGCATAAGATGACTAAAATAAAGCGTAGCGCTGAACAGATTTGCCAGTTACCCGAACCGTGCTATTACTGTCGTTACAAACTTACATTCGTCTTTCGCTATGGTTACGAATCTCAAGAACCATTTCAACTAAAGGATGCACAATACTTCATGCATCGGTTGATGAAAGAATCTTGAGTAAATCCAGAAGCAAACGACTCCTGTATACAAATAAGCGGTTTACACAGACTCCGTTAAGACAAGGGGTGATTAAAAGGAAGTTTGGAAATGATATTGGTGTCCATACCAATTTCTTGTGGAGTGGTAAGCGCTACACTGATTCCGACTAGTAGACGAATTGTTCAATACTTTCATAGGTGTTATCGCCATAGAAGTAATGTCGTAATCAACACTTTTCGTTCTATTCTGTGTCATTATTGTGTTCAATTAAAATTCAACCGCTTCTTCATATTAATGAATGTGGAAATGCATACTACTCCACTTGATAAAGGTACCACAAAGGGGAGGAACACTAAACACCAATGAATAATGCTTCTATCTCGAATTGTGTACCACACTTGCAACAACTTCACAAGTCAGTGAGCGCACAGTGTCAGTTCAAGTAGATTCTCTTCTAATTAACTCATACACAGCACGAAAGACATTTAGCAAAATATTGAAAGAAAAAACATTAGTGACCCACTATCGATAACTAACAATTTCTCTTCGATTTATCCTTTTCGGTTGCACAGTCATCTGTGAGTAGCGGTAGAATCAGTATAGTACCTACGGAGTAGTGATGGTAGGAGACAATCTAACCTCAGGCATCGGGAATAATAAAGCTGAGATGAAACCGACAAGGTAATATTTACTTATTGTTGTCCTCGGATGTCATAATAGTAGCTCGTTATGTTCGGAAGACTAGCAGCTTTGGCACTTTCCCAAAGTTTTTTATCAGTATACATTCGACTTTGCACAGGGTACACATTACAAGCCGGATTACATGACTACGTGTTCGTAGATGCTGGAGCGTCCCCGAAGGGGTGCCAACAGGATAGCATTACTTCAACTACCATGATAGATTATAACCCTTTTTCATTTTCATTTTTACTTTCATTCATTGAACATACGAAGACACAATTCTGATTGGCCGCTTCGGCTAATCACAGAAGGCAGTCATACAACACCAAATGGGGAAAGACGGCGATGGTGGTGAGATTCGAACACAAGTCCTCCGTGGTGATAATTTAGTGGCGTTGCCACCGGGCCACAACCGCCAGTGGGATTAAATGCCCTTTAATATCGCCGAATTCAAGGAGACTCGAATTTGGTGTATCAAATATCACAGAACTCATAACATTCATTTGTTTACTACTCACGTTGTCGCCCAACATACACCTCAGGGAATCATCATTTAAAGTTAGCGCTTTTAAAGTGGCGAATGAGATACCGGTGTCAGTCTTTTGCCGTCAGATTGGGCACCGCTTTCGACGCTCTCTCACTTCACATCGTTGGTTGAATCTTTTATTTGGAAACTTGATGAAATCCTGACACACTCCACACTCCCACGGTACCAAAATCGCGAAACATTTGTAACATTGTGTTATCTTTATACCCGAAACAATGTGTGACGTTTCATCATTCATACTGGAGCAAGCGGACCGCGCATTAGTATGCGCCAAGCTGTCCATGTGCTTCGGTGGGCGTTCCAAACGCACGACACAACGGTTAGGCTGTGACAAGTTGTCCAAACCAGCTTGTATAAATGTCTTCCAAAACGCGCTAGCTGAAAAGCTAGTACCAACCCCACCAGATGAAGTTAACCAGCACTGGTCGCTTATCAAGAATGCTCTGCATTGTGCTGGCTTAGTTGGTTGTGGTCTGACACGTCGCCCCGTGACACCATAGATCTCTGCGGAGTCTCTACGCCTTCTTGACACACGTCGGTCAATTCCGACCGGCAGCGACCTTAATGAAACACGACTCGTAACGCGACATGAACTAAATGCAAGCCTCCGCAGAAACCGCGAGATCTGATAGACTCCACGTTTATCAGAGATGAGACGTGCTGCCGCCATGGTTAATTCCCGTAAGCTGTTCCATCTCATCCGGGTCACCAGTAGGAAAGCCTCGGGTGTGAGCGGAACAGCCTGCGAAGCTGATGGTTTACCCAGTCATAGTCAACAGGGACGCCTTGCACGCTGGGCGGAGCACTTTATTGCACAATTTAGCTGGCCATCAGCTTCTCGCACAGCTATTTCGGCACACGTCCCATGGTCTGTCTCAACAGACCAATCTTCTGAGGCGGAAATCCGTAAGGAGATCCAAGCCTTGGGACGTCACAAAGCGCCGGGCTGAGATCGCCTTCCCCCAGCTCTATTCACCGATGGTGGAATAACGCTTTTGAGAGAACTGTTCTCTAAAGTTTAGAACACCGAGCAGGTCTCCTTCTTGTGGAGGGAATTGATTGTCGTTCCTATCTTCAAAATGGGCCCGCGCAACGACTGTGCAAATCATAGGGGTAAAAGCCTTATCCCAACAGTGTTAAAGCTGTTGGCGTCCGTCATTCTCCGCCGATCGTACACTATGCGTGAGGAGCAGACCTACGAGGAGTAGGCTGGGTTTCGCGCCAGTCGTGGATGCATCGATCAAATCTTCATCCTCCGACAGCTGCTAGAGCACCGTCATGCCTACCAAAGACCAACGGTCATTGTGTTTTTAGACATTCACGCGGCCTTCGACTCTATGAAACTATGAAACTGTTTGTTGAGGAATGGAGTACCTGAGAAGCATGTGTCGATCGTCACAGAGCTGTTTCGTCGGGTTAGGGCCTATGACCGGCTTTCGCCATCCTTCGCCGTCTCCAGTGGAGTTCGACAAGGCTGCCCTATATTCCCAATCTTTTCCAAGTTTTTCATAGAGGAATACAGAATACTTTGTCCGGTCTAGCAAATGGTGTAGTCGAATTCCTCCCAGGAAACAGAGTCCTTGACTTAAAATATGCCGATTACATCGCCTTGCTGGGTGACAATGCACAAGCAGTCCAACAAGCTTTAAACCACTTGGCGATAGACGTATCTCGGTATCGTATGTGCTTTGCACCGTCAAAGTGCAGTGCTGGTTCAAGACTGGCAGGAGCCTGTGCGTGCACTCACCCTCTGTGGTGATCAGCTGGAAGCAGCTGAGAGCTTTAAGT